TGATTAGAGTTTGCCAAATACTCCAGGCTGCAAGCCCAGGATAGTCTTAACATTAACAACAAAGAAGGTACAAATATTTAAGACACTAAGTCTTGCAATTAACAGGTTTGCATCCAAGACGGTTTCATATTCTGTATATTTTTTCATAAGTGTCAATAATTGGTTATTTTAGATGAAAATCATATGTTATTTCCAGGACCTTAATAACTATATGTGTTTATTATTTATAAGACATCATGAGTAGAAATACTGGTAAAATTCTGTTTTGGCAACTGGATCCTGGCACAGCTCCACAGTAGATCAACTATCTGAAGATTTTCTGTTGCCAGATTTCACTCACTCCCAAATTTGTCTTAATCTTTATTTGGCTTATGTATTGAAGAGGAGGGGGGGAGCTAGGGGACACATATCATGGCCTTGAAGATCACATTAGAAATCAGGAAAAGGCATGGAAGTGTTTTTTAATAAGCCCATCCATCACTGAAAAACTACCCTTCCACATTCTTTGATTTATCTCAATTTAGCAAATATTGTCTTATATTCCATGGGACTCTTTTCTGCTGAATCTTCTTTTGATAGTGTCCTCACTCACCTTGCTTTTGTTCTTTATCCTTAGGGACTGTAATTTCTTTCAATACTTTTACAAAAGAGAGAAGTGTAATGTTTCCAGCCTTTCCTTCTTTTATTTGCGTTGAAAATGGTCATCCATCCCTGTAGCTGCAAGGTCTCTTATTCTTTCATTTCAGAGTTCATCCTGACACTCTCTTGCTGCCAATCCCAGTAAAACAAACGTGAAAACAAAGTTCTTAATGACTGGCTACAAATTTACCTGAGCCGACTTGGACAGTCCTGCTTCACTGAGCAACCAAGAGCTCCAATTATTTATGCTCTCCTTTACCAAAAAAAAAAAAAAAAAAAAAAAAAGGGATCCAGAACTAACAAAATTATGAAGCTTATGAAGCTAATGAAGCTACAGCTTCAGCTTCTCCTTCCATACTGGCTTGTCAGGTAAAGACTGATTTCTTAAAAGCAACATCAGTTCTGTGAAGAGAAGGAAGCTGCTGTGATGCATGTCATCTCTACCAGCTAGAAGAGTACTTCAGCTGCTGAGGTATTTGCTTTGGCATTAAACCAGATCCAGTCTATCTTATGAGCAAGAACATGTACACATTCTTGCATGTGTCTCCACGCCCTCGATGGAGTGGCACACTTCTGCCTGTATATATGTATTCCTATGCATCCTTAAGGAAAACAACAGCTTTGTGTCTCTCTCTGTGTGTGAAAATTATCATGGTTTCACTAATTGTTTTAATTCCATCAAGTAATTAGGTGGTCTTGCTCTTCATTTTAGAGTTTTGACATTAACAGAAAGGGAAGCTGCAATGCAGCACTCCTGATCTTTCATACAATGGGCTCCATGAAGGCAAACTGCTCTACTTGATGGTTGAATTTAAGCCCCAGTTTTGCAAAGCTGTTAACCACTTGCTTACCTCTGAGCACATGACTATGATGTCAGTGCAATAAAATTGGAACATGACAAAGGGTCCTTCTACAGTACCCATCATTATAATACAAAAATGTGAATCTAGAAAGCAAAGTCTATCTTCTCTAACATATAACATTTCTATAGGTGTGTTTATTTTCATTTGATGTTACATTAATTACTCATCAACCTTGCTTTTTATAAAGCTCTCAATTCCTTTTAAGATGAGTGTTTAATATTAAAGTGAAGCAGAAGTCATTTTACAGTTTAAACTGCAACTAAATAACCCAATTATGGACAACCAACAATATTTCTTTAGGGTGCAGTGAATTAAAATAACTCATATATACAGTAAAATGAGAACACCAAAGCAGAAACATTAACTGAAAAATATTTTTTTTTCCTTCTGCAGTACAGGATTATAAAAGGGGTAGCATTGTTTCATTTTGACACGTGGCTATGAAATGTGGGCAATCATTCATTGCAAAAGGTACCTTTGAGATGAATTATCTCTGTCCTTATAGCTATACTTAGCTATGGACCTAGGACTTATCTATACTTAAAATGAAAAGTATAGCTAAGTCCTATACCCTGAGACACCTTCCCTGCTGCAGGCTCTTCTTCAGCACAATAGCTTGAAATGCTGTTTTGCTCCGCATCATCCACGTACAGATCAAGCTATTTTATCCGAGACCTCCCATTGCTCCTGACACAGCCTGGAAATAATGGCCAGGTTTATTGCTGTGTTATTATTGCTCTAAGGTCAGGCTCCCGGCTCTTTCATCCGTTCTCCTGCACTCTCCCATTCTTTCATTTGTTCATCTTGACCCAACTCACACTTGTGAACTACATTGCATTTGTTAAATCAAGAGGCTGCCTGCATGCCTCAGAGCATTGAGTAAGGCAGTGGTCCTTAGGGTAAATGGAGCATGGTATCAAGAAATAAAATTCTCTTCAGCCAAGGCTGAATTGGTTGAATGTCCATGCTGTATCTGTTGAGCACATTTCTGACACTGATTTAATAGTTCTTTCTTCTTAATATGTATCAGGTACACTCTCTTCCACTGCCAAAGCACAGAAGTTGAAATGAAACCATGCAAAAGTTAACGTTTACTTCATTTTATCCCACTTAGATCACAGCTTTGGGCAGTTCTACCAGGTGAATCTTTAAAGTCTTCTTAAAGTAGCATTTTGGCATTTATTTTCTCAACCTGGAAGCATAATGATGAGAAAGATTCACATTTTCAAGCCGCAAGAATTCTCTAGTAGTTTTAGGAATACTTGGCAATTTAAAAAGACCCATCAGATGGAATCCATCTTATCACAAGCAATACTTTAGTACACCCCACCTTGGTATAAACATGATCATTTGCAAAGCAATCCAATGGATTTAGACATTTGGTGTATGCTTGTGTCTGGTTCTGAAATTCCCAGCAAAAGCTGTAGACAGTGTATGTACACAGGCAAAACAATTGATGGTCCAGAGACAGATCTTTCCAGTGGCTGCTGAGCAATTGGGCAAGTATCAGCATCACTGACATTGCCAGACACTTGGCAGCTCTCCATGGTTTCTGGTGGTCTTCTCTTTAGGAAATCAGACTCTCTGTGTGTTCTTATGTAAGGAAGCCAAGAATGGTGTTGATATACAGAGTATAACCAGATTACAGAACCAAGTAAATCTCTTTGTCTGCTCCAGCACATTAAGGAGAGAAGCTAATGAGCTCAAGCCAAGGCCTCAGCTCCTCAAGTCCTCTGGTCACATCAGGACCTTGGTTTCACTGTTCATTTATTTAAATAAAAATTGTTGAGGGTTATGAAGAAAAAATGAAAGAAGTACTGTGCTCCCTGCTGTAGTGTCAACCTGAGATCTTCAGAGTGGCCAAGAGCATAAGTGTTGCCTCCCACTAATGTCTCCTTACAAAGCTCTCCTGACAATATCCTGCAAATAGTCAACAGACGTGCTGTCTGCCTTGAGGAATGCTAATGCTTTGGACATGTTGAGATGTACAGACATCTTGTGTGTCTTGTGCCTAAGGCAGGATTAGCCCAGTTGATAATTGCCTGAACCAGAAGCCTGGCTCTCAAGGATGCCACTGGGACAGAGTATGGATGTGCCACCTGTTTCAGCCCTGTCTTTCTAGATGGAAACTCTGTTGTCACCTTCTGTTCTCTGGAGAGCAGAATAGGTTCTGCTGCTTTTTCCAGAGAGTGGAAAGGAAGTTTTTTATCGTTGCTTGTGCTGCTTACTGAAAGCACTCCCTGCTAAAAGCAGGGCAATATCACCCAAGATGGCAACACAGGGAGAACTTCAGTTGTAATGAGTCCCAAGCACTCAAGACTAAAATGACCAAGACGATGTAGCCCAAGTGAAAATTTCTTTTGAGATGGGCTGGAGTCCTGAGGAGTATCAGCAGCCATCTGCTTGCTTTTGGAGATCTCTGTGAGGAGGCTTCCTCTCTGCTGCAGCTGCTGTTTTCCTGATCTCCTCCTCTACTGCAGGCACAGTGGTGCCTGGAAAGGGAGCAGTCAGTTTATGGTCCATCATGGGATTCCCCAGCACCATTTGCTGGTGGTGAGTTTGGCTGTATAAAGATACTGTGGCTGTTAAATGTATTCAAGGCCATAATGTGACACTACTAAACACATTAGACAAAAGATCAGTGAAGTTTTAAGCAATGAGTTGTGACCTTGGGTGGGGACAGGGAAACTTCTCCCATTTTTAATTTGTGGACTCCATTCTCACAGCAGCCTCCATGCAGGTGGACTCCCAACACCATGATCCTTTGTCACCGGGAGCCTCCCAGTCAGGATTGATGCCTGTGCGAGGGGAACATGAACAGGTTCCCTGCAGCCATGTCCTGGGTTAGAGTCACCCAGCAGCTTGCAGCCAGGTCCAGTTTCGAGCCCTGTCACTGAAATGGCAGTGCTGGACCCATCCAGCTCTTTCTGAAGAGAACAGGCTCTGGCCCATGTTACATGCAAACCCTCAAAATCTCAGTCAAAAATAATCAAAATATCCTCAGACGCTGCCTGGTGGAGGAGAAGAAAGAGAAGGGTGGGAAAAAACCTCTTCCTCTGCAGCTGCTGCAGCGTAGGGTTGTGGGCACACCCTCGGCCAGCCACGCAGGGGGACGGATGCTTGCCCCGTGGCTGGCGTGCTTGTGGTGCCAACAGCCTTTGCTTGGGTGGTGTATTTCCCTGTGGTGTTTTTCCCTGTGTGTAAAACGGCAACCAACCAAGCAAGTGTGCTCAGAGGCCTGTCTGCTGAATCGTTATGGAAAATTAAGGGGAGCCATTTAAACAGCTTGGCTTCTCTAATTGCTTGAATTATGCCCTGCATTCCCTGTCTGAGGTTGGGCAGAAACCTAGAAAAGTGCTTTTTTCCTCAGTGGGCAGAAAGGAGGGTGGCAGCAGCACTTCCTCCCCCAGCTAACGCTGTGCCGTGTTCTCTGTTTCCCTTGCAGGGACCTGCCACATCGGCTGGGGCCACTACCGCACAGGTCTCTCTCCTTTGCAGACCCCTGCCACATCGGCTGGGCCTACTACTGCACAGGCGGGGGCGCAGCAGCGGCCATGCTGGTGTGCACCTGGCTGGCCTGCTTCTCGGGCAAGAAGCAGAAGCAATACCCCTACTGAGCTGTCCCCGGGGCACGGGCACTGCCAGGTGCCCGAGGGGCTTGCCAACATCTTCTGGATAACGACGATGAACAGGAAATTCTTAAGTGCTTTCTCTCTGGAGCAGGCGTGGGGTGGGATGGCGGGTGGCTGTAGGGAGGGCAGGGAGATGGACGGTGGTGCAAAGGTGCCAGGCTGGCTTGGACAGGACGGGCTTTCTCACCCAAGCCTGCCTGTGGTCTGCTCCGCAAAAATATAAGCAAGGAAAACTCCACTTTGGCAAATGGTGAAACTCTACGTGCACCGATTAATTGAGAGGTTGGTGAGGGGGTGGCAGTGCCACAGGGCTGAGGTAGCACCCAGCGGCCCCTCGGAAGGGCACTCCCAAAAGCACACACACACGCACAGATGTTGACCATGGCACAAAATGAGTAGAGAGGAAACTTTTTCTGGTGCGATTCTTCTTCCTTTTCCTTTTTTTTTTTTTTATTTTTTTTTTAATTCTCTCTGGTGGTTTAAAATTCAGTGTTGCAACACTTTTTAATCTGTACTTTAAACTTAATAAAAGGACCAATAAGCCACTTTCTCAGTATTTTGTATATTCTCTACACATTTTTCTTCCCCAAACATTTAGCCACTTCTTATTCAGCCCTATATAACTTTTATTAAGCCTCTGTGTTTCCAGCATTATTACAGAAATGCAAACATAATTACTTGGCATATGTATCCTTTCCCTATAGTATTTTTATGAAGTGCAGTAAATGGACATTTTTTCAGTCCATTGGAAATTCCACTCACGGTACTGTAGAGCTCTGTTGGTTACGTACGACTAACAGGAAACTTCTTCCAGACATAGGATTCTGTTGCTGTTATGTTTAGCTCATTGATGTTGTATTGTGCTGTACCATGTTTATTATTTCAATACTCATTTTTGTAAAATAAATATATATAATGTGTGCTATTTTATGTTTGTATTTGAAAAATCTCTGTAAATAAATTTTTCCTTGATCAATACTTGCAATGCCTGGTCATGTCATTGGATGGAAAAGTTCCTTTCCCAGATCCCCATTGGAAAAATCCTCAGATATAATAATGACTTTTATAACCATACTGTATTCTTTTTCCCTGTAAAATACATACATTTAGGGTTCAATTACATTGCCTGAGGATAGACATCTATTGCCACTGGAGGCATTCCAGCATATCCCACATTTTTGCCTTATGCTGTCAGGTGGCCTGAAGGACTTCAGGAGACCTTCCCCATTCTGGTCTCGCTGCTGCAGACTCAGCATCTCACACAGCTCGACATACTCCTGTTTAGGCAACTGAAACAAGCCCTTACTTTCTTAATAACATCAACACTGATCAACTGCCTACCAGGCAGTATACCCTGCACAAGGCACTGGCACTGTACATACAAAACTCAAAAACAATCTTTTATTTTCTTTAAGAAAAAAATGTGAACTTTGAGAACTTGTAAGGGGTTTTCAATCATTACATTAGCTGATGTTATTCCCTTTCAAGTTTGTTTTTCTGCTCTTGTTTTCCCCATATGATATTTTTGTCATATATTTCTAAGTTACTGTCTATGTTCTAGCTACAGTTCTGCTGGTTAATAACACTTCTAGCTGTTGGAACTCTGAAGTTGTGCAGTTGCTTTGTACATTATGCGGGTAGCTTTTTGGTACATGAAAATAGCAATGTCAGCTTGCAGTGATCAATCCTAATATTGCTAAACTGAACTTTATCGAATTTCATTATAGGCCAAGCACTATTTATTCACTTCATGGTGCTGTGCACTGAAAACAAAATTGTACCTTACCCTTCCAAGATTAGCCCATAATAGCCCTGTCACATCCGACTGCACTGCTGCTGAGAAGCACACCAACCATGCCATGGGGGCTTGCCTTTTTTGCTCTTCCAGTGGCACCAGCAGCAGCAAGATGTGGAAGTCTTCCCTCCTCCTTCCAGGTTTCAGGGCTTGATCCCTCTTGTGAGCGCTTAGGACCATACCCAAACGTGCTGCGGGAAGTCAGTGACACTATACATACCCTCACAGTAAGTACGAATACGCCCTTTACAGTTGTGGATTGCTGCTTTATTAAAACCAAAGGAGATATAAATCCAACTTTGGCTGTGGTCCCTCTGGATCTAGTAATACCTTTGGTAAGTAACTCAACAGAAAAATGCTGCCTTTGTACAGTATGCTACTGAAGAAACATGTCTTTCCTTCCACTGAAACTGCAGTTTGCTATACAAAGTTTCAGTGACTTGACTATAAAGATGTGTTATTCTAAATCTGACCCTCTCTAGATTACATCCTGGCCCATGCATCACAGAGAACATTTTGACTATTTTTCAGGTCTTCCTGTGATCAGGTTCAGGCTTGATTTATCATGACAAACTGGAACTATGCAATTACTTCATGAGGAAAATTACGTTTTTGTTATGATGCAATACAATTATAGCATGACTGACTTTCTCTGAATTTGTATACAATCTCCTTTTTTAAATTTGGAATTGAATAAAATGCCAATTTTTAATAATCAAGCCAATGATATATGCTGCACCTGCTTTGTAGCTGTTTATCATATAGCCTTCAGCTGCTGCGATATGAGTAAACCAATCACAGCTTAATTATGTTTTTCCATATATGTGCATTTTGGTTCTGATATCCATTTTGCACTAGAATATAAATACCATTTATTATCATGGTTATCAAGCCTCACAGCTACAAACTCTAATAACTTTGAACTGGGCGAAAGATTGCTTTCAAATTCACAGTATGAAGTATCAGTGAAATATTTGCAATATTTACTATGCTTAATTTTCCATTTATTTATTCTTTAAGATGAGGAGCTTGGCCTTGCATTTGTCAAAACAAAAGACATAAGCTTGCGCAGAATCCTAGGTCACTGAATTCTGCCCCTGCAGAATGGAGGTGTTCAAGAAACATGTAGATGTGGTGCTTCAGGACATGGTTTAGTGAGTTAGGTGGTGTTGGGTTGGACTTGATGATCCTTGAGGTCTTTTCCAACCTTAATGATTCTATGATTCTATGATTCTACTGGCAATCGTATAATTTTTTCAGCTCACGTGCATCTACACTAATGCACACAGTATGAGCAACAAGCAAGAGGAGCTGGATGCCATTGTGCAGCAGAACAGCTATGACCTAGTGGCCATCACAGAAACATGGTGGGACGAGTCTCATAGCTGGAGTGCTGCAATGGATGGCTATAAGCTCTTCAGAAGGGATAGGCAAGGAAGGAGAGGAGGTGGGGTGGCTCTATATGTTAGGGAGTGTTTTGATTGCATAGAAATTGAGGATTGTGATGATAAGTTGGAATGCTTATGGGTAAGAATGAGGGGAAGGGCTAACAAGGCTGATATCCTGCTGGGAGTATGATACAGGCCACCCTCCCAGCAGGAGGAAGCAGATTCTATAAGCAGCTGGCAAAAGTTTCACAGTCGCTCACCCTTGTTCTTGTGGGAGACTTCAGCTTCCCAGACATCTGCTGGAAATACAACACAGCAGAAAGGAGACAGCCTAGGAGGGTCTTGGAGTGTGTGGAAGATAACTTCCT